TGGGAAAAGGCCCTCCTGGCCGTGAAGCCGGCCCACCACGCCCAGCTAATTTTAGTATGTTCAGTAGAGACAGGGTTTCACCATGTTGGCCAGGCTGGTCTTGAACTCCTGAGCTCGGATGATCCGCCCGCCTTGGCCTCCCAAAGTGCTGGGATTACAGGCATGAGCCTCCCAAAGTGCTGGGATTACAGGCATGAGCCACTGCACCCAGCCCAAATTTCAGGATGTTTAGGCTCAGACCATAGCAGGACTCCCAGCAGGTTCCAACTGCCCTTGCAGGGAGCCCTAGAATGCTGAGACTCCAGCAGGAAATGAGGGCTCTTAAACGTCAGAACTAGTCTTGACCCCAGTTGGGTGAAGACTAAGAGGGCACAGACATAGGATTGGTGGGCAGGGGGCAGGAGTGACCCAGAGTGCATTGAGGGTGGGAGCATGTGGGACCTGCCTCTCTCCACAGGTCCCGGATGGGTTTGGTGGCTGTAGCTTCAAGACTAACAGGACCTGCTGGACCATTTGGGATACAGTTTCTGGAAGGGAAACTGGGACAAATTCTTTCTTTTCTTTTCTTTCTTTCTTTCTTTTCTGAGAGATGGGGTTTCACCATGTGGGTCAGGCTGGTCTCGAACTCCTTATTTCAAGTGATCTGCCCGCCTCAGCCTCCCAAAGCCCTGGGATTACAGGCGTGAGCCACTGTGCCCGGCCGCTAGTCTTGCTTTGATTCCTGGCTGTACCGGGGATTCCCGATGCCCCATTCTCCAGTTGGGTATTCTGTGCCTGAAGTTTGCTCATCACAGCTTAAATCACTCTGTGCAGTGCTTGTCAACCAAATCCGCTGAGACTGACCCTCTCCCACCTTCCTGACTCCTGCTGCAACGCCCATTCCACCTCTGAATTCCCCTCTTCTGTGGGCCAGTCCTGACCTCACCAGTCGGCCCCATCTCTACGGGACTGGCTTCTCTTTGAGGGGCTGAGTGCGGAGTGGGTGTCCATATATTTAATAATAATTTAGAAAGCTAGAATAATCTAGAAAGCTAGAAATATTATTATTATTATTATTATTTATTAGAGAGACAGGGTTTAGCTGTGTTGCCCAGGCTGGAGTACAATGTTGCAATTACAGCTCACTGCAGCCTGGACCTGCTGGGCTCAAGTGATCCTCCCACCTCAGCCTCCTGAGTATCTGGGAATACAGGCATGCACCACGACACTAGCTTTTTTTTTTTTTTGAGATGGAGTCTTGCTCTGTCACCCAGGCTGGAGTGCAGTGGCAAGATCTCCACTCATTGCAGCCTCTGCCTCCCAGGCTCAAGTAATCCTCCCACCTCAGCCTCCTGAGTATCTGGGAATACAGGCATGCACCACGACACTAGCTTTTTTTTTTTTTTTGAGATGGAGTCTTGCTCTGTCACCCAGGCTGGAGTGCAGTGGTGTGATCTCAGCTCACTGCTGCAACCTCCGCCTCCCAGGTTCAAGCAATTATCCTGCCTCAGCCTCCCGAGTAGTGGAAATACAATAAGTGCCCACGACCATGCCTGGCTAATTTTTGTATTTTAGTAGAGACAGGTTTCGTCATGTTATCCAAGCTGGTCTTGAACTCCTGATCTCAAGTGATCCATCTGCCTTCACCTCCCAAAGCACTGGGATTACAGGTGTGAGCCACTGCACCCGGCCCAAACTGGGACAAATTCAAGCTTTGTGGCCACATATGAATACAAGGCATGGCTCTGTGCAGTGTTGGGTCAGTGAACCTCTTTGAACCTCCATCGTTCCACCTGTAAGATGGGGTCCTTCTACCTCACAGGGTTGTGAAAACACTGTTCTTTTTGGGCACGTAGTAAGTTAACTCATGCTTTCACCTGGCAAACATTTATTGCCTTAGTGATGACAGAATGAGCAAAGTCACGCTTGTCAATGACCCCTCCCCCCAATGTGCCTGGCACTTTGCCAACAGCACAGGACTCAAGACTCATTTCTTAATCACATGGCAGTTGGGAGGTAGATTCTGCTGTTAGTCCCGTTTGACACACGCAGAAGTGGAGAATGGGCAGCGGGTGTGATGTTGGGGGAAGACCAGGGCCCAGGGGTGGGGGCTGCAGCAGTGACTCACAGACCCAGGGCCTGGGCAGGACTGGAGGCCACAGGACTGGACTTTTAGTTCATTGCAGCCCAGGTAAACGAGGCTTTCATTGGCAGGGCCTGGCTCCCCACCAGGCAGGCAGGCAGACAGGCGGGCAAAAGAAAAGGCAGAATCCCAGGACCCAGCTCAGATCTTCTCCACGTAGTTTCCTGGGAAAAGGCCCTCCTGGCCGTGAAGCCGGCCCTTCCACCAGCCCGAGGAATCTGTGGGAGAGAGGAAAGCTTGAGGTGCCCCTAGCTGGCCCTGGAGAAAGCTCTCATGCCTGCTCCGTCTGTCTTGTTCATGAGGTCTCCCTAATGTTATCCAGGCTGGTCTTGAACTCCTGGGCTTAAGCCATCCTCCTGTCTCAGCCTCCCAAAATGCTGGGAGCCACTGCATCCGGCCATTTCCACTCTTAGAATTTTTTTTTTTGGTAAATCTTTTGTAGAGATGGGGTCTTGCTAGGTTGCCCAGGCTTGTCTCAAACTCCTGACCTCAAGTGATCCTTCTGCCTCGGCCACCCAAAGTGCTGGGATTACAGGCATGAGCCACCTCACCCGTCTGTTATCTCTGTTCTCCCGTGGGGAGGGTGTACAGTGGTGGGGTCTGCCTGGTGATGTCAGGGTTCTTACCGCTCCCCTGACCCCAGCTTCTGCCCTGGTACACACACCTTCCATGAGGATCTCGATGACCTCGTTCACATTGAAGCTCAGCTCGTCCACATCTTGGCCCACATACTGGTATAGCGCCCGGCACCTGGGGCCATGTGTCCGAGGCTGGGGCTTGGGTCGGCCCACACCAGGCACTGGCCGTTGCCCCACACTGCGCTTCCTCTGCATGCTGTGAGCACAGGGGGTTTGAGTCACAGCCCCAGATACTCCCCTACCCCCTGCCCACTTCCTGGGGCTGCCCTCCCACCCCACCTACCCGGCCATGCCCTGGTCAGGCACGTTGAGGAATTCTGTGTTGTGCTCTGAGGGCAGCTGTGCCCGGGGTCGTCTGCTGGCTCCCAGGGATGTGGACGGAGGGCCCCGGGGAGGCCGGTGGGAGCTCCCTCCAGACATGATCTCCAGGGGCAGGGGGCCCCCTCTGGCAGAGGGGGGCACCCCATTGCGATGCATGCCTGTGGCAGGAGCAAGGATGAAGACATGTACTAGGGTGATGCTAGGAGGATTTGAGGAGGACTTGGCTCCAAGTTCCCAGTCTGAGGGAGGAGATTGCCATGCTCTCAACCCAGTGTGGTAAGGATTGGGCCAGACAGAGGGGCTCTGGGGCTAGGAGGGCCTAGACAGAGGCTTTTTTTTTTTGAGATGGAGTCTTGCTCTGTCACCCAGGCTGGAGTGCAGTGGCGCAATCTCGGCTCACTGCAAGCTCCGCCTCCCGGGTTTGTGCCATTCTCCTGCCTCAGCCTCCCGAATAGCTGGGACTACAGGCGCCCGCCACCACGCCCAGCTAATTTTTTTGTATTTTTAGTAGAGATGGGGTTTCACCGTGTTTGCCAGGATGGTCTTGATCTCCTGAACTCATGATCGGCCCACCTCGGCCTCCCAAAGTGCTGGGATTACAGGTGTGAGCCACCGCACCTGGCCAACAGACGCTTTTTTAAGAATTTTAAAATTATTTTTTACTTTTATTTGTTTATTTTGAGACATGGTCTCACTCTTGCCCAGGCTGGAGTGCAGTGGTACAATCATAGCTCACTGCAACTCTGATGTCCTGGGCTCAATCAATCCTCCTTCCTTAGCCTCCCCTTAGGGGCAGCTGGGACTACAGGTATGCTCCACTATGCCCAGTTGATTTTTATAATTTTTGAAGTAGAGATGGGGTCTCACTATGTTGACCAGGCTGGTCTCAAACTCCTGGCCTCAGGCAATCCTCCCACTTCAGCCTCCCAACATGCTGGTTTTATAGGCATGCGCCACTGCACTTGGCCTTATTTATTTTTTATTTGTTTAGAGACAGGTTTTGTTCTGTGGCCCAGGATGGAGTGCAGTGGTGAGATCACTGCAGCCTCCAACTCCAAAGCTCACATGCTATCCTCCCCTCTCAGCCTCCTAAATAGCTGGGACTACAGGCACACACCACCTTGCCCAGCTAATTTAAAAAGAATTTTTAGGTCAGGCACGGTGGCTCAAGTCTGTGATCCTAGCACTTTGGGAGGTCAAGGTGGGCAGATCATGAGGTCAGGAGTTCAGTCAGGAGGTTCATGACAAGTCTGGCCAACATAGTGAAACTCCATCTCTACTAAAAATACAAAAATTAGCCAGGCATGGTGGTGCACGCCTGTAGTCCCAGCTACTCGGGAGGCTGAGGAGGAGAACTGCTTCAACCGGAGGTGGAGGTTCAGTGAGCCGAGATCACGCCACTGCACTCCAGCCTGGGCCAACAGAGCGAGACGTCAGTCTCAAGAGAGGAAAAGAAAAGGCAGGTGCGGTGGCTCCACGCCTGTAATCCCAGCACTTTGGGAGGCCTAGGTGGTGGATCACGAGTCAGGAGTTCAAGACCAGCCTGGCCAACATGGGAAACCCTGTCCTACTAAAGATAAAAAAAAAATTAGTTGGACAGGTGATGCATGCCTGTATCCCAGCTACTCGGGAGGCTGAGGCAGGAGAATCTCTTGAACCCGGAAGGCAGAGGTTTGCAGTGCGCTGAGACTGCACCATTGCACTCAGCCTGGGTGACAGGCTAGACTCCTGTCTCAAAAAAAAAAAAAAAAAAAAAGGCTGGGCATGGTGGCACATGCCTGTCGTCCCAGCTACTCAGGAGGCTGAGCAGAATTGCTTGAACCCGGGAGGTGGATGTTGCAGTGAGCCAAGGATCGTCCATGCACTCCAGACTGGGTGATAGAGCGAGGCTCTGTCTTGAAAAAAAAAAAAAAAGAATTTTTAGTAGAGACGGGATCTGGCTATGTTGCCCAGGCTGATCTTGAACTCACAGTGATCCTCCTGCTTGGCCTCCAAGAGTGCTCGGATTACAGGTGTGAGCCACCTGGCTGGGCCAGGAACAGCTTTGCAGGGGCAAATTTCCCTCCTCCTCTCCTCTGTAAAGGCTTCTGGCCCGGCGCTCAAAAAAACTCTGTGTTGTCTGTT